AAAAAAAAAAATTCCTTTAAATAAAGCATTAAGTACAGAGTAAGTGGTTTTACATATATGCAAGGAATCTGGCAGATCTCAAAGGGCCATGGTATACCAAAAATATTTCTTTTAAACACTAAATCATGCTTGGTGTAGCACTCGCTCTCTCTTTCTCTCTTTATTATGAAGAGGGGGAAAGGGAACTGTTTTGTTGCTGCACACACACATATTTGAGGTCATATAAATGTATAGATATTATCAACTCCACAGTATGTATTTCTCAGGCAACTCTTCTGAAGAATTAGGCAAGTTAAATTCCACACAAATGGCTGAGCTTAATCTATTAACAGTAATAATGGAGATTCTAAGTATTATGGCTTTTTAGAAAACTTTTTCCTACTAGAAAAAGATTAATCAGCAGATCAAAAATATTCATACTTAAGTAGTCTTGTCAAAAGCAGAAGGCTACATGATAAATGACAATAATCTATTTTATAATTATGTTTTACTATAACAAGATGAAACATTACTTAAAAACTTACCTAGGTAAAGACAAAAAAAAGAAAATTCTACTGGATAGTTTCACCAAATTTGCAAGGTGTGTTTGGGATGAACTAACTTAAAATAAGAGCAACGGAATATGTAAAGCTCACTTGGTGGGTGAAGTGGGTAGTATCGAAGTGATAGGCAGTCATCTTTTGTAGAGATTTTGAAACTGAGGTACAATGAAAATGTGACTGCTGGTTAGATTAAGACATGAAGGATAATCAATACCACAGGTGTTTTAAATATATGTCCCCAAATCCAGGTCACAAAAACAGTCCCTCCAATTTGCAAACACTAACTACTAAAGATGCTCTTACATGGGCTATTGTGTGTAGCATGTGCTTTAGAAGTAGCAGCAGGGATTAAATAAGGTTTAATGATTCTCCCAGACATGCTGGCAAGCCAGCTAATGAGTAAGAGAGCTGAAAAGAACTGCCAACTGAAGAACTAATGAGAATCCATAATAAATCACATCAAACCAAAAACCCAAATTTTTCAGAAAATCTTATTTACTTTTGTTGCTTCGAATTTAAGTGTGCCCAATCAACAGTCCCCAATGAGAACAGAAGTTATGAGTCCTAGACATACAGTACTCAAAACTCACTTTTAATTATAAAACTTCTGTTCCGAAAAGGGACTAATGTAGCTAACCAACAATAAGTTTATTATCTATAAAATTGCTTTTAATTTAGATTTGTTCTCTTGTTGAAACTAGCTTTCATTAAAAATTGCAAAACATATGGAATTAAACAAGGAAGATTCTAATTTAAACCAATACAGAAAACTGTAAGTTTTAATACAAATTCATCTGTGATTTTACATAAATATTTTGGTAATGAGACTAGTAAATGTTCGTATTATTGGGAAAATAGGTTTAAATACCTTAAGAGCTTTGAATTGTTTTGTATTTTCTCCAACTGATCTATTTCTTTGGATAATCTAGCAATTTCTTCTTCCAGATGTCTTTGAGTAATATCAACTTGTTGGCACAGGCGAGCAAAAGTGGTAGCCATTTCTCTTAAAATTAAAAAAATTGATTAGCAGTCATGAGTGTCTTCTAAAATGAATAATAAAGCTTATAATAAAAAGGAGAATACAAGTTTGAAAAATATCTAAATTATAAGGAATCAAACAACACTAAGAATGGTATGAGGGAAGGTA